TGCTAGAGCCTGGGCCAGCCTGACCTGCTCCCACGGGAGCTCTGCCCGGGGCTCTCGCTGGTGCCACCCCGGTGGTACGCGGCCGTCCTGCCAACGGGGCAGCATCTGCCAGCACACCCCCCTGGGAGCCCACACGCCTTGGCTTGCCTTGACTGCTGCAGCTAAGCCAGCAGGAGCCTTCCGAGAGGTACACAGAGCTTTTGTGCTGCCATCTGATCTCTTTTTTTCTCTTTTTGTTCTTTTTCAGTCATCGTGCACCCACAGACCGTCCTTCGGATAAACACCATAGAAATCTCCCCCTGCCTGTCGTGATGGATTGATCAGGGGCTGTGTGCCTGAGCTTTATTCTTGCTTCAGGCAGTTATGGAAATAAAATTGCCTTGCCATTGGAAAGTTCTGGACTTCTTGCTGTTGTGGGAAATGGAAATCTATATGTACTTTCTTTTAAACAAAATGAAATATTCTTTTAAACTCTTATTTCGGCCTTGCTGGTGTTTATCTGGCAGGAGTTTTAAACAACCCAGCATCCACAGGTAGCTGCCAGGCTGGGTCATGCCAGGCAGGTCCACTCTTGCCTGCCACCCCTCCGTGCTGTGGGAGCTCAGGCTCTCAGCTGGGCCTTACAAACCCCTTGGGCAGGTGACCCTCCTCCCCGGGCCCTGAGGTGAGGCTCTGAGCCTGGGAGGCAGAAGCTGCGTGTGGGATGGGTCTGAAGGGCCTGTTGCTGTGCCTGTTCCTCGTGCCCTAGGAGGGTTCCCTGCAGGGGGACTGCCTGTGCTCACAGCTGTCGGGGAGCCCAGGGACCCTCTGGAGGTGCTCGGTGCTCTCCACAGCCTGCAGTTACATCCCTGTGAGCAGGTGAGGTGGGTTTGAAAGACTGAAGTGTGACTTCTGCCCCTCTCCCCACGCCCTGTCCTCTCCTGGTGTCAGCCCTGCTGCTCCGTTCAGGTCACTCCTGGTGTTGTGTGGCTTCAGGAGCACCCCGGGCAGCCAGGGAGAAGGGAGCAGTGAAACATGGTGTCTGCAGGATCCCAGATTGCCTCCCAGACCACGCTCAGTGCTGAAGAGCCTTCTGAAAGGTTAGCAACAGGAGACGCAGCTGAGAAATTGCCCTCTTAGAGGTGAGTCAGAGGGTCTATTACATAGCAATTAATTGTCTGTGTGTGTAACACCATCAAAATGACATTTCCCAGACTTGGTGCTTGGCCTACTGAGTACATTTTCATGCCTAGATCTCAACATTTTCTCTCCCTGTTGTCTGCAAGCTGAGCACCATCACTTCCTGAGCAGCACGTGGCAGGCCAGGCTCAGCAGGCTACTCAGCCAAGGTCTGGGCACGTTGCTGGACTGTCATGACAACCAGGAGGAGTCTCCCAGAGCTTCCAGCAGGCTCCCAGGTACCTCCCAGGTTCCCGACTGCTGCCATCAGAAGTGATGTGGGCCCTGCTGCCCTGTTGCTCTTCCAGGGGCCTTGCTTAAGTCAGGAGCAAAGTTCACCTCTGGGTGTCCTTGTGCCCCCGCCCTGACTCCTCTGTAGCCCCACAGCCCTGTCCTAAGGGAAATGCTGGATCTGAACATAACCATACCTGGGTCTTGTCATACAATCATAGAACTGTTTTGGTTGGAGACCTTCCAGGTCATTGAGTCCAAATGTTGCCCCAGCCCTGCCAGGTCCCCACTGCCCCGTGTCCCTCACCCCACATCTCCACGGCTTGGGAACCCCTCCAGGGGTGGGGACTCCACCACTGCCCTGGGCAGACTGGACCCAGCCTGGACAGCTGTGGCAGGTAAGAAATTTTTCCTAATATCCAACCTAAACCTTCCCTGGTGCAAACCCTGTGCTTCAAGTCTCCCAGGCTGGTATAAACCTTCACGAGATCACTTTGGGTGCCATGAACAGCAAGCTTGGTGGCTCAGGCTGCGTTCCCTCCTGCCTGAGCAGCTCGAGAAAGCTCCAGGCGTGCTGGGGTGAAGCTGGTTCCCCAGTCACTGGAGATCTGGTCATCTGCAGGGGCTGACAGCCCCTGGGAGCTGCTGTTCCCCATCCCCTGGCTGCAGGGGGTGCTGGGACACCCACCTTCTGAACAGACCACGGTAATACAACACCAGGGACCTCCCTGCCACCAGCTTTGGCCGTTGTGTCCTTGTTCCCAAGCTGTTACAAGTGTCAGGCAGTGGGGGGGCTTCAAAAACCACCTCCCCCCCCTCGCTGGGATGTGCCAGGGGCAGGGTGTGGGGCTGCTCCAGCAGGAACCTTGCAGCCCCCCACGTTCTGTGCGGGGTGTGAGGGGGGCTGGGGCTGGGAGCAGCCTGTGCCCTGGCACCGAGGGGCTGGGGGAGGTTCTGTCCTGGCTGCCTGGGGAGGAACAAGCAAAAATAACAGGAGAGACTTCACGGCTCAGCAGCTGGGAGGAAGAGCCCAGGGTTCATTCAAAGGAAACAGCAAATGGCTTAAGCTGATCTGGAAAAGTGGTCCTCTGGGAAAAAGCCCTTGGGAGATGTCATTCTCATCCAAGGGAGGTACTCTGACATTTGGGTGGCTTCACAGCATTTTAGGAGAAAAATGCAGGGAGGGAAAATTCAACCTGTATCAGGAAGTCCTGATTTGAAGACCTTGTTTTGAAAATTTGGTAATATGAAATTAGAGCCAAATATCCGTGTCTTATTGAAGTGATGCATCCAGACTGAGGCACAAGGGCATTCTTTTCAACATTTTCTTCAGGAGAATTTAAATAAAAAGCTTTTTGCTGTTCCAAGTGGAAACGGAAACCCCCAGTGCTTCTCCAGAGTGAAGCTGCAAGTCTCCATGTGGCTTCATGTGTTGGGGGTGGCCACTTGTGACCCTCTCCTGGCTGTGGAATGGGGTGTGCCACACCTCCACCGTTGGAGAGCAGGAACATCTCAACAGAGCAGGCCGTTTTTTCCCAAGCACTGATTCATTGTGGAAACTGTTAATAGAAAACATCTTGCTGGACAGCACGCCAGATCAGGGTGGAGTTTGGGGGATGCTTTGCCCAGTCTCCAAAGACAGGCACCCGTGTGGGTTGGATGAGAAGCAGGGCTGAGCTCCTGCCCCAGCAGAGCTGCAGCTCTGGCCCCGTATCCCCGCGGTGCCGTTTGGCTCTGTGCACACACGGCCCCCCTGCTGCTGGAGGGGCCGTGGGGCTGGGCCGGGGGCAGGGCTGAGCTCCTGCTGAGA